AAACATTTTGGATGGACTCAGGACAATGAGCTAACCACAACTACAACAAAAGACATGAAAGAGGACTATATAAAATTCAGCCTTCACAGTATTAGATGAAACCTTGTTCATGTGAATATGAACATATGAATACAGGAATATTTAGAAATTATTAGCTATGTTATATATGTATCCAGTGGTAAATATTTTGCTGCATAATGACATTTTAGTCAATGATGAACTATATGTGATTCTGTAAGATTGTACCACATAGCGATGTATCCATACACGGTGGAGATGTAAACACACACCATGATTTTCACACAATTATAAAATCACCTAGCATTGCATTTCTCAAGATATGTCTTTTTCTTTGAGACATATGGCTCTGCATGTTTCTACATACGTAATTTAGCTGTGTCTGCTAAGAGCCTACATGCACTGACACTCAATGTACCCATTAGGGTTCTTTAGAGGAATAAAATAGGGGGAAAATACACTTATAATTATACAAGATGCATTAAATAGGCTTACAGAAACAGAGGTAGGAAAATCCAAAAGGGCTGTCTGTATATCAAAAAATCCAGGAGCTACTTGGACTAAGAAGATGGAAGTTATAGAACAAGACAGATCACGGATGCAGCACCTGTCCAAGGAGGAAATCGAGGCAGGTCCTGGAGAGTTGCTGGTCCGAGTGTATTGGATGCTGAACAAACAGACACCAGTGTCCAAAGGTGACTGATCCATTCATATATAAAGAGTGAGTCTTTTATCCAAGGGGTAAATTGGAAAAAACAAAACAAACAAAAAAAAAAAACAGTGAATTTAATGTGTTTCTGGAAATCATTTTGAAAAAGATAAATTTCATCCTTATTTCATAACATGCATAAAAATTGTCTTATGTGAGTCATAGACATAAAGAAGATACATAGAAAAATAAAACTCTCCAAAGAATATGGAGGACATTATATTTGCAAATTTGTTTTAGGCAAAGATTGTTCTGTCCCTGTCCCCAAACTACACCTGGGAAACCAAAGTAGAGAGAGGTTTTGACTTTATCTAGATTAAAACATCGGCTTTTCCAGTAGATACTGTTAAGAATATAAAGAGCAAATCTAAAGACTTTGTGGATCATATTTGTCATACACATGAGAGATAAAGACTTCTGTCCAGAAATTTTACATCACTCTCACAAAACAAGAAGAGAAACTGATTTATCAAAACTGGACAAATATTTGAACAGAAAATTTTTCAAAACAAAACACAGAAAGTGCCAATGAATATGCACATCATCCTGCAGGGAACTGAAACAGAAAATCACAAGATTACAATGCACAGAATAGCATGGCTAAAATCAAAACAACTGGTGCACTTGCTATGACTGGCATCTCCTAAATGACCCCCACTGATCCTCACATTCTCATACTGATGCCCCTGTGTGACCTCTCACTCTTAAATATGAAGTATGTTATAGTTTGAATCGAATTTGATCTCCAAAACTCTCATCCCTCAGAAGAATAGGTTTTGGAAGGTGATTGGCTTGCTACTGGGAGGTAGTCCTCCTTGAAAGAGGCAGGTTAAAGGAGGAATGACCTGGAAGGGTGCACCTCCATCCCTAACGTATTCCTCCCCTCTCTGCTTCCTGAACACTATGCCATAAGCTGAATTTCTCTGCTAGTTGTTCAGCTTAGAACTGGATGACTGTAGACTTAAAGTGTGAACTCAAAATTCTCTCTTCTCTTCAGTTCTGGGTGTTGGGTATTGTGTTTGGGTGATAAAGATATGGCTAATACAGATTTTAGTACCAGAGACTTGGAGTTGTTGATGTGATTGCCTGACTACGAGGTTCTTAAGCCTTTGGAAGTGGTGTGTGGGAGGAATTGGAAAGATATGGAGATGCCTGTTGGAGAGGCCCTGGAATGCTGTAAGCCAAGCTTGATGGGAGAGTGAGAAGACCAGAATACTGACAGAAATGCAGGTGATAAATGCTAGGCTCAGCAGGACTCATTTGGAAACAAGGACTTCATGGCAGTTAGTCTCAAGCCCATGTGTATTATGTGATCCCAGAAACTATATGTACATTTTGTAATGTACTTGTTGGGAGACTGAGATTTGGGGCAGCAGACTAATTGATCAGTTGGAGGAAATTTCAAGGCAGCCCAATATTCAGTTTGTGGCATGGTACTATTGGGCAATTCTTGACAGCTGCACATAGAGAATGTGAAGCAAATGATCCAGGTAAGTGATTTTAAGTTTTAAATTTCACTAGGAAGGAAGCACCTACAAAGTTAGTCCTGTAAATAGTATCTGGCCAAGTAGAGAATAGTTGCTGAAAAGATTAGCATTATAAAGAAGTCAAGAACTTTTCACTTTGACAATAGAAAGGACCCCTTGCAGGCATCTGAGAAATCAGAAAGAGGCAAACATTCGCAGGTTAAGAGGTACAAATGTGAATGATTTATCTTTGAAAAGAGAGCCCCAAAGCACAGCCTGCATAAGAATGGCCACAGTAGGAATTGGTTCTTTGAGATTCAATTCACAGTGCAGAGACATCAACCCATGCAGAAGTCTTTGCTGCCATGACACAGGGGGGTTCAGTTATGATTCTAGCTGGCAGCAGACTTTGGAATCATCCACATGGTGCTAATTTTACAGCCTTATACAATGCAAGAGTCATAGGGTCAATGGGTCATCCACCCAGATTTCAGAAGAAGGCCTGGAAGGCCATTATTTTGACCCTGAGAGGGAAATGCATAGTGCTGTGAGACTGAAGCCAAAATTACAGTGGAGATCCACAGAAATTGGAGATGCCAGAACTGTGGAATATCTCCTGAGGAAGGTGGTGGGTAATGAGCAAAACCACCCAAGAGGAAAGGTATGAGGCTTACAATCTGCAGTGCTGTAGGGCTAGGGCTTCCCAAGCACTTTGGAGTTCATATCCTTGCCCTAGAGTTCTAGACATAGAATAACAGGATTTATTGTTTTTCTTGCTGAATTTTAGGCTTACATTTGGTCCTTTTAGTCCAACTTTATAACAGGAATATTTACCCTTTAACATTAATATTTGTAGTGGCTCATAGCTAAGTTTTTGAAGAAACAGTGGGATTGGGCTTTTCAGCAATGCTCGAACTTTGGTGTCTCCTAGAGATGGACTAAATGGATTTTGCACAAAGAGTTATGCATGGGTCTTTGGGTGGCCAAGGGCAAGATGTTATGGTTTGGATCAAGAATAACTCCTAAAACTCTTATGTGCTCAAAGGTAGGGCTTTGGGAATGTGACTGAATTACAGAGCAACTATAATGGAATTGCTGTTGGAAGGTGGAAACTGGATCAGAGGAAGCAGGTCGCTAGAGACATGACCCTCCTCACCTTGTACATTTTCTCTCTAATTCCTGGCCACTATGACATAAGTAGTTTTCCTACATGGCGCTCTCTGCCATGCTGTTCTGACTTGGAGCCAATTGACTTTGGACTGAAATGCAAGACAAAATAAACCTCTCTTCCCTGAATTTGTCAGTGTTGGGTGTTGTGGCTAGTAATGAGAAAAGTGACAAATTCAAAATTTCATCAAAATAGTCAGTGACTGTTTAAATTTCTGAAAAAAAAAATCTCAGAAAGAAATACATTGTTAGTAATCACCCTTAAAGTACTTCCCTTTGCTCTGAACACACTTATGCCAGTATTCTTGTCATTTTTTTTTTTTTCTTTTACGTTCAGGCTGGTTTTGAACTCAATATTTTAGACGAGGCTGGCTGCAAACTCTCAGTTTGATCCTCTTGCCTCAGTATCCTCAGAGCTTGTATTATACGCAAGCACCAACCAAGCCTGTTATGTTCTCCAGAGGAGTTCTACAAGACCTCTTTCATGGGTGTCTTCATGAGTTATTATCACAGATACGATGAATGTTTTAGTGGAGTGCCATCCAACAAAAGACAGACTGATCAAAACATTACAGCATGTTTTCACCTACCTTATTCTCTGGCTCTCGCACTGCGAAACTTCTGGCTCTACCCAGGAGTCAAAATAACCATATGTTATGGCACGTCTCTCAATGACTCCCCAAAGCCTCACGTGGTCATAGGTGGGGCTCTTCACAGGTGCCTGGATCTGTAGTGTGTGATGCTGCAATCCCGGGTGTGTGAGTACTATATTAGTGCACTGTGTGATTTGGCATACTTCTGGGAGGGGATAGTGGGAAGGCCCACCCTGGGTGTGAGTGCTACATGGTGGGTAGCCTGGACAGACTATAAGGGACAGAAAGAGGGTTGTGAATTGTTGCTTGGTGGTTGCTGTCTTGCCAGCTTCTGCCTTCTACCTGTCATGAACTGTTTCTCCTCTGTGATGCCCCTCTGCTATGGCGCCCTGCCTTGGAACCAGCCAATTACGACCTGAAGTCTACAAACTGCAAGCTAAACAAACCTTTCCTTCTTTGACTTTTGGTACTGGGTATTTTGTCTCAGCAATGTGAAGAATAGCTAAGACACATGATAATGTAGGCTTTTCTTCATTCTCATTAGTCATGTTTCCAGCACATAATGTTTACACTCCTTGTGTAGAGTTGGTACATGCACATAAAACCCCTTAATACCATAAATCCTTTTTTATCTCCTTTCTCTTCTCTCCCTCTATATTTCCATCCCTTTCTCGTTTGAGAAAGATCTACCTCCCTACTTCCTATTACCCATCTTTTATTTTGCTTTTTATTTGTAATTTACTTTCCTACCCTAATCAATACTGTAATTATCTTAGAACACTCTGTGAAGGCTGCTGCTTCTATGCTGCCATGACTGAGGAGTCCTCCTGGCAGATTTTTATTTTGTTAAATTCATCTCTTTAGTTTATTCAAATAACAGAAAAATTTCATTGTCAATACAAATATGTAATATCAATTTAAAATTTAATTTCAATGGCTATGAAGTATTCCATTCAGTGGAAGTATTATTATGCCTAACTGGATCCTGGCTTATAAATACTTAGATGATTTTCAGTTTTTCATTATTTGAAATTTTCTTTCCCTTAGGAAAATATTCTGGAATCAACATTGTAAGAAGGATGCACCTGCACATTGCAAAGTGTTACGTATTCTCCTGACCTCCCTCTAAGTAGATCAGCCTGAGAGGGAAGAGGAGAGTACTCCTTCCTACCAGGAAAGCATCTTGACATTCGAGCCCATAAACCCTTGCATCAAACTGGAAAAGCAACCTGCCTACCATATGAAGACCCAATTTCCTCTGCAACGCTTCATGGCAACTTTGAAATAGCTGAGTTTAAGTACAATACAAATTGTTCCTAATTTACATGATATTTTGAAAAAGACTGCTATAAGTTGCTGTTTGGGGAGAAGTAGTGCAATTCATAACCAACTTTCCCATACAGCACACTTCATAATATTGTCAGGATTTTGTATTGCCGTTTTTTCGTATCATCTTAAAACAGGTACGGTCTTGGTAACATATCTAAGCCAATGTGTTCGTATTTGTAGACTGAACTTGGAACCCCACATTACCCTTGCTGGTGGTATGTTTATTTTAAATAGCCAGGATTTTAAATATTTTTTTCTGTATTCCTATTTCGAATTTTGGTTTACCTCAAGCAATATTCAAAGTACCAAACCAGTTCTATGTTCACATTTATTTGCCCGTATAAGGAGCCTAAAGTTGGAGCTATTTTATTTATCTCAACTTTCAGAGGGAAGAAAGCAATCTAACTTAACTCATCCACTAGATGGAAAGTGACATACTGAACCAAACCAGAAGGATGGTTGCTTCTGAGAGTAAGTGACTTAAACATATCTAGAAAATAAAGTGTTTTGAATTGATTCAAAAACTAAACCATTTCAAGTAATTGTAATGCATTAATTTCCATAATTTAGGTTGAGAGTTAACATTTAGGCAGTAAAAAAATATATTAATCAATATTCTAAAGTTTCTGTCTCCGATTTGTGCATTCATACCTATGCATAAATGTATACCGGTGGTTTAACTTCTACCCAGACCAAGAAATAGAACATGCGCAAGATCAGAGAAGATTCACTCGGGCTCTTCCTACTCTATAAAACATAGGCGGTGCACACACACACACACACACACACACACACACACACACACACAGAGCAACTGCTTTCTTGATATTTTGACTTCATGTTTCATCATTTGTCTTGCTTGTACTGTCATTTTCTACTTGCTTGTGTCGGATTTTATTCATCCAATAAGTTTTCTGTGAGATTAGCTCATATTTTACTACAAAGCAGTAATTCATTTCCACTGTCATTTAGTATTTGATTGGCTAAGTTTTGCGTTTGCCTTTAGATGGGTATTCAAGTGTGGCTGACAATAGTCCTGGTGTGCGCATTCATGCACAAGACCTGGTGTTCTATGCAGTCTGTGTTTGGGGATGGAATTGCTAAGCCATAGAGTAAAGTGTTTTATTATATTTGAAATTCTCAAACTGTTTTTAAAATTAGCAGAGCCATTTTCTCTCTCCAGATATTTCAGGGAGTTTTCGCTGTTCTGAAAATTCAGCACTACTTTGTATTCTTAAATCATTTTAGCCCCTGGTGCAGGTGATGAGAAAGGTAATTTTTTCATGAAAGAGAGAATAAAAATAAGAATGGTTTGATACAGGCACGCAAGCATAGGGTTGGTTGGAGTTTCTTTGTTTTTAAAGTTTAGTATTTGCACCCATCAGATTCCTCTGATGTTGAGGACGCTTACTGATGTTCTTCAGTAGCAGCTATTTTATGGACTTCATTGTTTGCGTGTACGCAGAAACCATTTATCTGTCCTTAGTGCCATTGCTTTAGCTGTGCTGAAACTACATGCAGTGTGTATGGTTTCCTTTACAGATACGTTGAATATAATTACACTATTGATTGGAGCTAATGAAAAGTTACTAGTTATGATAGGTAGAGAATGGCATGCAGATAAAGCAGTAAAAAATTATTATTTTTGTGACCAGAAATTGTAATGGCCATATGTCATGGCCTGTCTCCAGATGTCACCCCAAAGCCTAAATACCAATTATAGGAAAAATATTTCCATGATCTGCTCTTCTCCTCCTCAGTTTGTTTGACTGAACAATTCATACTCGAGTTTATTTCTATTTTAATTTTTGTATACACAGCCCATACAGAGACACAATGATAACAACATCTTGTCTAAATAATTCTCAAAACATCTCAGGATAGGAACAAAATTAAAACTCAGGAAATAAGAAAACATTGGGTATTCTTTTCTCATTTTGTCTTAATGTTTCAAAAAATTAATGGGCACCACAAATTATATGGCATTTAGATTCAATGAGTTACAACATTGGTATCTGGGCTTTAAAGCTACTCATGGTTTTTAATGTGTTGTGCATTTCTTTATCTTCTTTCCTCCATGACTGTCTGTGTTTTTGTATTTCCGCAAGCATATGTCGGCTGTCTGTCTAGGAAAGAGTGTCAATCTGTTTTTAGACAAAGTTCATTCAGAAACTGAGTATTCTCTGCAAGCAGCATTTATGGAATGAGAAATTGTGAGAAATAGAAAACCTAGTGACAGTGGGTCCTGACAGTTGTCGTTCTGAATTGTCCTGCTGATACTTGGTGATTCTCGTGGTTCCAGAGTCAGCCTGTTCTCTCTGACTTCAGCTGTGTGCCAGTCATTATCATTCCAACAGGTGGTCTTTACAACTCTGAAGGATAAAATCTCACATTTCAGGGCTTATGTTTTTCAGAATCCTTTTTGAAACCATGGTGCTCATTTTCTACTCTCTTTACAATAGGTCTCATGATTTTTCTCTGTTGTTGGTGTTTTTGATCCATGAGGTTTGAATTTCCCACACAGCCAATACAGCTGCCAACAATTCCCTCCGAAAACCTTTCTCCTGCTCACCCATCCTCCATGTAGTTATATGTAGCTGTGTATTAATACTTCCCCCCATCTTTTAGCTTGAATTTAAAACATAAAAACAATCTTAACTCACTGAACTCTATAAAAATCTGTGGAGAAAGTGTTTCTAGTTTTAGCAAGTGATTTTTCTTTCTTCAAGAAATTGATTCATCAGCCCAGAAACATTTGAAAGAATTTTCTTAAAAGACAAAGATGTTATTCATATTGCAGTGAAGTAAGTTAGAGTAATAAGGGCCTCATGTTTGTTATTTGGTGAATATGTACAGTAAGATGTACTTTGTCCTCTTATATGCTGAAGCATGCATTTTTTTGCTCAACTTTAAGGTTTATGTATGAATAAATTTATCTAAATTTATCTAAACAATGTTGAGGTAGGTAAAGAAAAAAAAGTAAAGAGAAACTACCTCTATGATAAGATGTCCAATTTTGTCTTAGTCATATAGACTTGATATTACATATTATCTGGAGTTGCAATTAATTCCTGTCTTCCTAGGTTAAAAGTGATCAAAATGATAGTCTTATTTACAGCAAGATAATATAAAGAAAGAAAAATTCAATTCTGCCACACTATGTACCATGAAGGACATAACAATATTTTAATTATGACATTAGATAATTAGAGATATAGTAAATTATCCTTGGTCATATATACTTTTTTCTCTGTCATATATATGCCATTCCATTATATGTATATGGAATTAGGTTACCACCTCTAATATGAAGACAATAACGTCAGAATTGAGTGTAACATCTATAACATTCAAAAATTCACTTAACTCTTCAGAACTTATTAACATTATTAGGAAAGTGATAAAAGTAAAACATATGATTCTTCTGGTATAGATGTCAAGAGTAGGTGATTATAACATAAAAGAAAATTAATCTAAAATGTATTCTGTAATTCAATGAATAAATATGATTATATTCTAGTAGTTTCTGTAGAGAAGTTAGGTAAATTTGTGATTTTTGCTACCCATATAAAAATGTGAAGTGGGGAGCAAGAAAACATAATCTCATTACAATTATAACTAATAATCATCTGCATTTACTGATGTCTATGTTTCAGATTTTTCTCAAGGTGGTTCCAGGGTCGTATGCATTTGAGCTCTCACCATAATCCCATTGTCATCATGATTTGGGTTTTCTATAAGATTTCTCTTGTTTAGATGAGTTCACAGAGGAGCTGAAGTGATGAGGAAATGTCTTTAGTCTACTTAGCTAAAAACTCCTGAATACCTGAGCATAAATGGAGACCCCTCCAGCTTATGATTGATGGCTTCATCTTCCAAACTTGGAGCAGCATTTCCTGCATTACTTATCATTTTAGCATACAATTTTAAATTTGTGGACATGAACCATAATGCATTCATGAATATTTGGATGACATTACCAGCAACCCAAGTGATACAAGGATAAAGCTTTACCCACGACTGTCACCTCAGTGCTTGTGCTGATACTATAAGGGCAGTAGGTGCTCCTTCTCACAGGACTGCATTCCATGCGATGGACACAGAACCCCAAAATAGAGGCCTGCTTCTAGGAAATACAGCCAGGTTAATAAAAACCAGGAAATGCTCATTACATAAGCTGCCCCTCATGCCCTATACTAGTATAAGGCAAGTAAAAATTAAGGGGAAAGTTAACCTGGTATCTGAGTAACAGAGATCAATAGATAAATGGATAGATGAAAAGATAGTGGGATGATTAGTCTGATTGTTGAATGCATTGAAAAACACCCAGGTAATGAGTGAGACTTGCTAATGGGTGTATCTTTGTGAGTGTCTCCAGAGATGACTATATGTGGAAGAGCAAACTGGGGAGACTCAGCCTGGATGAATGAGACACAACCTTACAGACTGGGGGACCAGATGCACCAGAAAAAGAAGAAGAAGGGCACCAGTACTGACTCTGTGGTTCTCTCACTGTCTCTCTCTCCACCTTCTGGCCTCCGTGAAGTGAGCCCCTCTCCTCTGCTGCACTCTTCCACCATTATGCCCTGCCTTACTACAGGCCCAGAACCAATGGAGCCAGCTGGCCATAAAGCAAACTGGCAAAACCATGAGCCAAAAGAGAAGTATTTCCTCCTTTAGTTATTTATTCTAGGCATTTTGTCACAGCAACAGAGACGGGACCAACATGGATAGATAGGTAAATAGATAAATACATAGATGATTCAATGGTTTAAAAGTAACTTTAAATGGTTAGAGAGTCCCTGGTGAAAAAGATATTTCAAGAAAGGACAAATGACATATTACTGGAAATAAAATCAGATATATTCTGTGAATTTTACTTCATTTCAGATTTCTTGGTAATTGACTCATTGAACAGATACACTGTGCATTTAGAGATTAAAAACCATCTTTCAATACTTGATAACTGCATCAGGCAGGGTTTTACTGGAGAAACAGATATAACACAGGATGTACAAATTATAAGAAATTACAAGATTGGCCTACAATGATCAGCCAGAGAGTTGTACGGGGAAGCATGCAGAGGGTGTCTGCGCACTGAAGACCGAAGGAATCAGTCCAGGGTCTGGAGTTCACTGCAGAGTTCCATGCAAGTCTGTACCAGGAGGCCGATGAGTCTGTGATGCAAGGCTGAAGGATCCAAGGTGGAAGCCGAAGAGTCTGCACTAGAAGCCAGGAGAAAAGTCCAAGCTGAAGGTGAAGACTGGAGCTCCTCCAAAAGGAATGGAAGTTCCTCTGTCCTTCTTCATTTCCCTTTTATATTATCTAGGTGATGATCCACCCTAGGGTGGCTCCTCTACACCCTAGGGTGCAGAATTGCTGAGCCAATTGCTGAGCCAAGTTTAGTTATGCTTCTAAACTTCTCAAGTTGACATAATCAATCAACCACTACA